GGCCTGTGAATGCTGATGTGTGTTTAGTGGCCTCAATGTGGAGCGATAGAAAGCCAGCAGTGGTAGCCCCGAGTGGTTGCGAGAGAGCATTCGACTTTAAATAATGGCAGCATACAGAACAGGATGGTGTAGTTGATTGGAAAGACGATTTTGTTCACCATTTCGTTCTTCTTTTGAGAGAAAAACAGCAAAAAGGTGCCTCTTCATTGCTTATCTACCACTCCACATTTAATGTGCATTCATTATTAATTGGATGCCATCTTCAATTAGGCCTGGAGGAGAATTATTCCCAATTAATATAATCGCTAGCTCATTATTTGTCAATCTAATTGAAAACCAACTGTTTTTATACGGTTTAAAATAGCAACGGGGACAAATGTTCCTCCCTATTTATCTGCTGCCAAGAATCTTCATTTTGTAGAATGGAAATATTTCAACAATTCACTAAATTAATATAATCTATTTGAGGTGGTTTCTTGGTCAAAGCTAGGAAGCACATTTACTATTAGTCCATATCATTATGCATCTCCTCGAGTGGCTTTTGTATCAAATTAATGACCAAGACCAAGCTGGACTGGCTTCGGGTTCGGTTGCCGCCTCCGTCAGCTCCATCGAGTTGGAATGACCACGTTTTGGCGACTACGTCGGAGCGACGGAGGACCATATGGAAGCTAGCCAATTCTGCGTCTTCTGCCAAAATTGTGAGGACACGTTGGCAGAGGATACAGGACTGGGTAGCTTCGACAAGTCTGAGCCCACGCCATGTTGGCCTTCATCGCTACGATCTCGTCATGGAATTTGGATTGCCCAACAATGCACTGAATACAAGCGAACAGACAAGACAACTAAAAGTGAAACATAACCTATCATAAACTATCGAAGCATCGTCAGCATCTTGGAAGCACTCCTGGACTTTGCAACCTCACAAGGCAGTGCCGTTCGGTCATGGATACTGAAATTAGTTGTCATGCCTCCATCCAGACATCCGGCAATTGCGAGGAGGAGCAATTTAATTGAAGATATGACCACCAAGATGTTGTGGCCTCTGGAATGGTCGCAGTCTTCTTTCGATGTATAAAAGAGGGTTGACCTCGTTGTCGCAACTTGGTCTTGTTGTCAAGGCGACTATGTAGAACGCACCTAGTCCGAAGTCGTCTGCCACAATAGTTGTCATGACGCCCAGCCGCAGACAGTCGACTTGGTACATTCTCAAATGTTACGCCGGCATCATCAGTCCGTTTTGCCATTCTAAGCACCAAACTACGAACTCTCTGAAGAGACAAGTGAAGTCAATCCTTCCACCAACGTTCTGAACCACAACGTTTGTGGCCAGTTGTTCCCACACTTTTCCAAGTCGCAGCGCCATTTTTCAATTAACACTTTTCCATGGCGCCCTACCCTAAGTATGACTATTCGTAAGTAAGAGAGGAAAATAAATAAAACTCGTGTATCTTCATTGTTTTTTTTCAATACTTTATTAACATTAAATTAATATTTAATAATTAATGTGACGGATGAGCCTGCAAATCACTGCACATTTTCTCAAATCGTGCAATTAAACTGGACACGGCCACCCTCATTTCCTTTTCCACGTTGATTTGTGCTCTATACTTGCTTTCTATTTCAGCGACCGCCGCGTACCCAGCTTCGCACAAATATAACGTCGAAAATGGAATTAGAATGCGCTGAGCCTTATTCATCTTTTATTGACATACAAAATTCTGAACTAAACTTACAATATTAACTGATTTACTAATTTATGTCACTGTTTATGCATACATGAAGCGCTGAGTTTAACTTCACTAGACTCAAATTACAAGTCGACTGACTGAATCGAGCCGGCAACGCTTGTTTGTATACTTTCCGCAAGATCTTCCAGAACATTCCAAATCTGTCGCGAATGTTCTACGCACCTCGACGTGTCTAGTGCGAACATATGACGTGATCGAGAAGACGCAACGTTTTCTCACACGTTTGTGTTTCGTTGGGCCAAATGTCTGGGTCAAATTAATTATGAAGCTTTTACACTATTTTGCGGCGCCCCTTTAAAGAGGCCGCGGCGCACAGTTTGGGAATCATTGGGTCACACTATCACTCCTCTTTATGTTTTGGCCTATCTATCTACTCTTTACCCTCTTATCCCACTCCTGCCACATCACTACTTCTCACTT